GGGGGGGGGCAATGGGCTGTGAACCATAAACCCTCAGATTTACAGACCAGCCATGCTAATCATTAGTCCATACTATGCCCAAAAGAAACAAATAAACTATGTTTGTTATTGTTTTACATTATATATTCTACAGCATTAAGTTAATGTTTCAGCACATTTGAAGGTTCTGTATTATGTCTAATAGTTTTCTTGACAAATTTAAAATGTAAAAAAATTGATGTTTGCCACTTTATATAACATTTCATGCCTAATACAGTATTTCATGTACTCTATACACCAATTTGAAGACATGTATTAACTTAAAAGTTGCACATTTATCACTAGCATATTTAACATGTATTTAACTTAATATACCATTTACTAGGTGATGTTTTTAAAACATTCTATTAGCCTTTTCATAGAGATTTAGTTTACAAAAATAACATTCTCAGACTATCATTCACACGTTCCAAATTTGACCCATGAATATTTTTATCGTATAAAAGTTGATTATCACAGAACAAAGCAAATAATTAAAAAAAAAATAACTGAATTTCCTGGCCATGAGTTATCTCCAAAAAAGTGAGTAAACCATGTCTTCCTGTAGCACATATTCAAATTCATTCTGACTTCTTATTTTTAGCAAATAGCCTTTGATAGACTAATTCTTTCAGCACTAATAATATTTCACTTATAAAATTTACCTTAAATGAATTTTACAACAAAATCACCATATAGTAAACACAAAGATATGAATATACACTAACACAAGAATCATGACTGCCTATTTTAAAAACAATAATATTTCTCAAAGAAAATCTAATGACTCATAAAATTTACTTTATATGAATTTTACAATAAAATCACCATATAATAAACACAAAGATATGCATATATAGTAACACAAGAATCATGACTGCCTATTTTAAAAACAATAATACTTCTCTAAGAAAATTTAATGACTCATAAAATTTACTTTATATGAATTTTACAACAAAATCACCATATGGTAAACATAAAACAGGTTTATTTCCTTAGTATAAGAAACATATCATATGTATATTACACATACATGCATTCATATACTGAGAGAAAATGACATGATAATTTGCTTAATTAGCATCCCTGTAAGCTATTGAATATAATTCATAGTATATCGGTGACATGAATTAACACTTAAACTATTCAGATAAAGCAAAGGATCTAAACAAAGGCACCCATGATAATCACTTTATCTTTCACAAAATAGACCTGTCAAATTTAAATTTGACAAATGTTTTTTTAATGATAAAATAGTAACCATTAAATTTTCAAAAAAAAATCTTTACTGATGAAACTTGACAAAAACTTACAAAATGCTTAATTGAAACAAACATACCATAATTAAGACTTCCAGAATTTAAACCTGTAAAAATGAGCTAAATGTGTACTAAATACTTCACACTTTCCTTCTATACTGTATGTACAGGTGAGTCAAATTAATTTCCAAAGAAGAATTTTTATGGTTTTGAACTTTTTTTTTTCATTCTCTGCACACATCACTTGAAGTATCCATATACAGTTTTATATAACTTATACTTGAAACCGTCGATACTTGATGAAACTTCATTATTACACAATTGGGGATAAAAAAGATCATTGTACGTTTTACAAAAACTTCATTTATTAATGACCACAGTTTTGCCAGGTGATGACAATGCCTTTACTGTTGAAACCTTGGTCATTAATAGATGAAGTTTTTGTGAAACGTTCAACTGTCTTTATTTTTTTCTTAATTCTGTACACATGCAGTTAACTCGAAAGCTAGTTTTATATCACCTTTCTACTTTAACTTTATACCTTCTATCTCATTTATTACTATCAATTAAACACTTTCATAAGTAACATTTTTAAATGAAAATTTGCTACTCTAAAACTACAATCCTATATTATTTTACAATGTACATTTGTGAACTTGTTTGTTTGTCCATGAACTTCTTCAGTTTTGAAGCTAGCAGGACCAAACTTGACATGTGGACTCAGGTGGCTCCTTATTTATATGGTGTAGCACCCCCCCCCCTTTTTAAGAGTTGCTTGATCTAAATCTTGCATTACAAATTTTGTCCCCCCTCCCGAATCCCACAAATGCCATATGGCCCCCCTCCTCTTGGGGTAGGTATAAAAGTACTAGGGATAACAGAAGAGTTTGATCAATATATTGGGGTTGCTGTGAATCATGAG